CCTTTTTTCTCCCCATTCTTTTTTACAAGACAACATGTGTGTTGTCTTTCATTACTTACCTCTCTTTCCTGTGTATTTACACCATATTCTCCTGTCCAATCTATCGAGTGACTGATCATGTGACTAATAACCTTCTAAATCTTAAAATCACTGTGAAATTCATGTACAGTGTCACCTGTTGATCAGCGTTCCAAACAGCAGCCTGATGGTCCCCTGAACGTTTTCAGTGCACAGCCAGCTCCACTGCTCCTTCATCAACACACACAGGATGTTCAGGGCCACCTCTGCCAGCGCCATCTCAGATGCTGAGCACATGCAAGACAACACAGTAAAATATATTACCTTCGACACGGTGTTTGACAGACAAGCAGACTGACAGGCCTGTTACCCAACATTATAATCCAATGACAACCAATAATCTGATTCTAAAAATGATTCTGTGAAGAGCTGGAGCACAAGCGAGTCTTATCAATGTCATACATATACCAACACTGCCCTCATGTGGTTAAACGATGGTAAATTATTTTTATGAAGTCAGTCATATATGATTTAGAAATGCTTTGAATAAAAACTCAAAATGCAACAAATGCCTATCAGAAACTGTGACTGTGGGAAAAAATGTTATATTAAATATTCTTCAAGACATTAAAAGAAACAATAGAACAAAACCTTTGATAGCTTTTTAAATGAAAACAATGACAGTGACTGGTAAAGGTGCTTTCATATCAAAGCGCTAACGTCTTAACTGTGAAAACGGTGCAGTTTGACTTCTGAAAAGTCTTTATTTTTCCTACATCAGTTTTGCCCAGACTGATTAAACTTTCCAAGCGTTTCCTGAGACGTGTTTATAATATGTCTGCCACACTGCAGTACTTGGATTATATGATTTAAATCAACCGTGAATGACTTTTCAATGTTAGTTTTCAAAGGTTAGTGGTATTTAAAGTTCTTAACAAATACATTTAAAGTTAAAGCACTCCAACTTGATGACCTTTAACCTTCATTTAACTTTGGGGCTGCTACTGGTTTTAAACATGTGGTACAGGAGAAAGTGTTGTAAACATCTGCTGTAAAAGTAGCACGACACTCCCATGTGCGTGAACTGTCTGGTGACTTTTGAGGTGAAACACTGCAGGGTCCTCACAGAATGAGACCCTTTATTCACCCTGACTGTCTGGAAAGTGACAGTCTTTAAAAAGACAATGTCCAGATGCCTGGCCGTGGAATGATATTCAATTTAGACTCCTTCAAACATCAACCAAATGCAAGATCGTTCCCATATGACGTTAATAAGATCATACACGTCCTGTGATGGAGAAGGATGGAGCACCAACGGTGTATGATGTAACACGATGGATAAGTCCATCCAAATGACAGCTGTTTTTGCCACACAGTAGCAAATGTGGATGAGGCTCCTGCCTGACAGTCAGGATCATTTGGACACTGCAAGTCAGTGAATTTCAACTGGTGGGTCGCTGGCCAAATCCGGCCCGCTGAACAATCCAATCCAGCCCCAAGAGTGGATTAAATAGCAATGTTGCACAAAAATTTAATTTTTCTTAAAACTTATTCGAGTTTCTTGCCCTTAAAATGTGTGTCCAAAAAAATGGCTGACAAATATAGTCAGTGACCCCTGCTGTAAACTAATCACAGTTTTGATTGTGAATTTTTGTTTGTCTGTATTTGGTGCCTTGTGATGAACTGGTGAACTGTGCAAGGTATATCCCACCCTCACCCAAAGACTGCTGGGATTGATTGAGATACAAATAATTAATTATTTTAAGGGATTACACATCCAAACACCCCTGTGATTGATTAAGATACAGATAATTAATTATTTTAAGGGATTACACAGGCGTCATCAGGAAAATGATCACGTTTTTTAAATTGAATATTGTAATGTTAATTCTTAATTTAAAAAATCCATACATTGCTGTAGAATATCAATGCAGTATTGTTAGACAAAGGTAGGGTCAACGGCATTTCTTGCAGTTCTATGTATGTTGGAAGTTCAGCATTTGTTTGGTATGGAATTTAAACTTAAAGAGGTCTCACGCAATTTGAAAATTATTATGCTTTTGTCTGCAGCTACAGCAGCTCATCAACGTCTGCCAAAATGTGGACCTGGTCTGATGAGTGACTGGAATACTGGGCAGGCTGCTTTAGATCAAGAGGCTCCTGCCATAATTATGATCAGATACTGACTGGAAAATGGTGAAGTGAAGGAGACAGGAAAGAAGAGGCAGTGAGTCAATGTGCTGCTTAGACACAGAGTACAAAAAAAAAACGGGGAGGGAAGAGTGGATTGACGCAGAAAAGCAGACTTGATGATTGCACTGATAATGAGGAGAGTCTGGGAGGTTAAACGATTTTGTGTATTTGATGACAATATGACAAAATACAGAAATTTGCTTTGAGCTAAAGGCAAATATTTAATCCAAATCGTTTAGCGTGATTAACCCAGTTCTAGAGCCAAATCTCTGTGTCTAAAGATTGTAATAACTGAAGAAGACACAAGAAAATACATCTTCAGGCTGCGCACGACTGAAAACTGAAACAGTTTTATCAATGTATAGAAAACATTTGCGAATCAGTTAATCGTAATTAATCGTAATTCTTACTGTGGTCTTACCTTGTTCCTGTCTCTGTTTTCCTCTCAAACTTTCATTTAGAAAACCTCTGAATTCTGGGACTTCTGGACTTCCTGCCCTCTCCACACCAATGGAGAGTTTTTCTTGTTCTGTGATAGATGCTTTCAGATCTTCCAGAGACATGTTGCTGAACACCTGGAAGGGAACGGAGGTAGAATTAAGGCCGTACAACAATGAAAAGAGCCAAAGAACATATCAATAAAACAGATTCCCGACACTTACTGCCCTGGTTTGGTCCAAACTGAACACAACAGGTGGTCTAACCTCCGGAACATTCATGGAGGGAATGTTTTTAGTGGAGAACTTCAGACGAGATCTAAAAGAGCACGAACACAAAAAAGATTAAAGTTGTGGACACCGTGGTCAGAGGTCATCAAAATTCACCTTCTTCTACATTATTCAATGTAAATTAATTTACAAAACACTTGATAAACACAGTGGATAAATGAGTTGCTGATGTTTACCATGACATGAACGTGGATCTGAGAATCTGGAGACTTACTTGCTTTTCTTTTCCACATATATTTTGATTCCGTCCGTCTCTGCTTCGTTATCATCTGTCGGACTTTGAGGCTCCGAACGAGGAAACGCTGTTTTCAAAGTGTCCACGATGGCATTGACCACAATCTGCACACAGGAGACAAGAAAGTCAACAAGTAAAAAACAAACCAAACAGCAGAGAGCTCCTAAATTAATACCACCACATGCAGATGTTTTCTGCTGCACATTATTAAAAAAAATAATGATAACATTTGTCTGAGAACAGTTTCAAAAGCAACAGGCGTCTTATGAATAATATTAGGATGAATGGAAAAATCCGGACTCAAACCTTATCTATGCGTGACACAATGAAAGGCTTCTTCACAAAGGCAATCCTGGCGTCAGTGTTGAGGGCAAGAAACTCCTGCATCTCTTCACTGTTAGCAATTTCCTGAATAGCACACAGTTGCTAAAAACAAGAGCAAAGAGTTACATCAACAGCTACAAAAGACCAAAAACAAAGTGAATTTTTTTTTTGTAAATATAAAGTCTGAGACCAACCTTGAGAAAGGTTTCGAGCAGACCTTTTCGGGCCTCTATCTTGTCGCTGTCCATGTTTCCAAACGGCATTTCTGGGAAGATTTTCTTTGGACCTTTCACACCTGAAAAAACAATAGAAATGTGGGTGTTGGCACAGAATCAGATTTGAGTAAAGACTTCTTATAATAGAAAATTAATAAAGTTGAACCAATACAATCAGGTTCCGACCTTTGATGAGTTTTCTCAGGTCGTTCCTTTCCTCCAGTCGTGTTTGGAGGTTCAGGAACTCGCTGTATCGTCTGTTGACCATGTGGTAAGCTACTGACTGAATGGGGGACAGAGTCTCACAGCATGTCTGCACAACTTCAGCTTCTCCACAGCCAGACTGGACAAGTCCTGGAGTCTCATCACCCATGGCCGTCTCATACTGTTAAAAAAATAAAAAACAAATTCTAGTCAATCAAACTGGCAGGTTTTGTATGTACCTGTATTATCTGATGCTTAAGTAGTAAATTGGGTAAATACAGAAGTTATTCTGTAAGCTTTAATACAATTGGTTTTCAGTTTGAGGATGCTTCTAAAAATCAGGCTGTTGGGCCATGAAGGAATAAGAATCTGACTGATGGAAAACATCAACTCTCAGTTAGATTGACTCTTGTCAATCTAACTGACACAACTGTCAGATCGATTGTGATTTTATAGAAATATTGAATAACTCTTAGGATCAAGATTAATTGCGACTAATTGTGATTTATACAAAATGACCGTGTCATTAATCATATTTAAACAGCCCTAATTAACGTTAAAATGTTGAGAGTGGAGAGAGTGACCGTGTCCTGCACTCACTTTGATGGTGTACAGTGTGTACGGGTGAGAGCCGGTGCCTCTGTGTTCTTTGGCTGTGATGGTGCCCGTGATTCTAAGGTTCTGGATGATGACTGGTCCATCTGGGCTGCTGAGGGGCTCAAAACTAAAAGATGGCATCGAGGCGTTCACCTGCTGTGGGCTGCCTGCAGTCAGCTCAGTGGAGCTCACCAGCCCGCTCTGTTCCACACTCAGAAGATGCTCACTGGTTGGGTTTACTGAGGGCGACCTGGCCTCCCTTTCCACATCCTGGAGGCCACTGACATTAGGAGAAACATCTCCCCCCTTCACTAAAGAGGGACTGAAGCCATTAGGATGTTCTGAATTCACCAAGATGTTTGGACAAGAGCCATTCACTGGACAGGGAGAGACGTCCACACTGTCCACACTGATATTGTTGTCAACAGATGTGGTACATTCTTTCCTTTTGTCATACACCAGCTCCTCTTGGCCAATCATGAGCAGGAAACCAGTGGAACTCTGTTTATAATCAACCAAAGGAGAATCAAGGTCAGAGTCATTTTCCTGATAAAATGGGTTTGACTTTCTTCCTCCCATGTTTCCCTCAAGAAAGGATCGCTCTTCTTCTTCAGCACTGGTCTGTGGAAAGACCACCTCCCCATTGTCAACGGTGTCAGAGGCTGCAGACTGAGGCATCTGTGTTTCAGTGACAGTTTCAGTTTCCGTTCTTCCCAAAGGAGCTTCGGTTTTCCTCTGCGATGTCTCCACCACAGGAGCCAGGTCTGATCCATCAGCCGATGGTGGCGACAGCTGAGGGACAGTCGTCACTGGCTCTGCTGCAACTGATTCCCTGGGTTTACTGGATTGTCTGAATATTTCCACCAAGAGAATGTTTAACCAGTCAGGGTTGGACAATTTTGAAACGAGAGGAAGGAAAACATTGCATGTGATAAGCTCGCCAACAACAAACCGTCCGCTTTGGCTCTCCAAATGTGGGTATGGAACCAAAATGTGCAGCAACAAATCTACAAACACTCTGGTGTAGTTTAGTTCCACCGTGTCACCGGTCACGGCAAGATGAGGTGTAGCGATCCTGGAATACGCCAACCACAGCTGCTCGCTCTCGCAGGCTGAGGACGTCTGCTGGTTAGTCACTTGTTCCTTGGCGCTGATGTAGTCCTGTAGGTGGCAGCCAAACAGATCCAGGATCCTCTCTGTCAGTTCCTGCAGTGATGAGAAGATAAAGATTCTTAGACTGAATTAGAATTACATTTCTTTGTCATTTCATACAACGAAATATGTGCTTTATATTAACAGTGTTAAAATTGTTAAGTTTGCATTTAAGTTTGTCTGAGTCTTTCAACAAAATTACATTTTTTAGCAAACCAGAAAGAAAATTGTATGTGATGGCATTTTCTGTCAAAATAAATACTTTTCAGGACTATGTTGTCACATAAAACCTCTTGTGCACAACAAACACACTACAAAACAAATGATTGGAAACAACACTTATATCACAGTACCTTCTTGTCGACATGTCTTGCACGTTTCTTCATTTCCTTGGCCACGGACATCATGACGTCTTGAACCTGCCTCTCAAACCCACTCTCAGAAGACACGGGGCAGTACCAGGAGGTGACAAAGTCTCTGATGATTTTCTTCACTGTTTTATGAATCTCCTCATCTAAATGTCGATCATCCTCCAAAGATGGCGGGATCTGAACAGGTGTTTTCACAGCAAATTTAGTTTCAAGACAAGCAAGTCGATAAAGTTTAGAGGGCTATGATTTACTACTCAGTGGTTGCAAATGCTTCTTTTTTTTTTAGGTACACAGATATAGTGAATTCTGATTCATATTAGACAGTAATGGAATCAATGGAAAATGCATCATTTTGAAAGCCTTTCCACATTTACCTGCTCCAGCGTGACAAACCGCTCGAGGTGAACCACACTGTTAGACTCCAGCACTGCCTGTGAGCCAAGCCAGCCCCCCACCACCACCAGCAGGCTTGTGAACACACACAGCAGCCAGATGTTGACAAGCAGGTGGAAGAGAACCAGCCATGCCAGCAGCATGCCCAGGCCCAGCAAGCTTCTCTGTCCTAACACCTCGGTCATGTTTACTGTCTGACAATCTCACGACTAAAACTGCTCATCGCACAAACCAGAGGAACACCGCAGCCTGGAGAAAAAAAGAAGCTACTTTAGTTTATGGTATAACCAGATGAACTCATATTTAAAAACATGCGTATATGTACATGTTTTATAAGTTTAAAGAAGTAACTGACACATTATATATCAATACATTAGCTCTTCCTGTTAGAAGTATATAGTTTATGGCATATAGTATATGGTTTATTATTTATATTGTATGTACTAGAAAAAAAAGAATATTGGGGGAAAAAGTTTCAACTTTTACCTGATCAAAACAAACTTTCTTTTAAGTTGTCCTTTTATCTTTATACAAAATGTTTCTTTTCGCCTTTCATTGCTGTTGTCTTTGAAAAGAAACCAATTCTTTAACCTTTTTCTCCTTTTAACTGTGTAAAAACTAACTTTTTCTCCCTTTGTGATAGCTATGTTTTTGTTGACTGTGAAAAATGTCACTATAAAATTTCCCTATGTGATAGCTATGTTTTTGTTGACTGTGGATGTTTGTTAAACAATAAGGTTTTTGTTCTATGAATGTACTGCAACAAATGCATTTGTTTAAATTATTTACTGGTCACAATGGTCGTGACACGAGCACGCTTTTGCTCATATGTACCTATTATTTTTCAAGTGCTAGTTAAATCCCGTATATTCCTCAGTTGAGTAAAGCTCTGTTACAACAGTATCGCAAATATAAACTTTTTCACACCAAACAAAAAAGACAATTAGGTTTAAGAATGGTTCGTGGCATATACGGCACGAATTAACGTCTTTTCATGAGAAAAATCCGATAAGTTGATACTATACTTAGGACGACGACATTAAGGCACCGTTTGTCGTTGTGTTCATTGGGAGTGCAAAGCGCTGTCATCACTGTTTGTTTCAGCATGGCACAAACATCACAAACGTTCCGAATATAACGTTGCAAGACCGGTAATAGTGCCGTGTTTGCAATAATAGCATATAACAGGAATACATAATTAAAAAAACAACCTAAAGTAGGTTTGGGGCTTAGGTCCGGGCTCCATTTGCCGTTAGCTAGCGATAACCTAACTGTCCTTTCTATATACACAGTTTCAAGGACAATGTAGCGATTTTTGCTAAGCTCATGATACACAAAATTAAAGGTAAATCACCTGCACGAACTGTCAGTTTAGGCTCCTGTCAACATCTTATGACTCCATTTTTATTTTGTTTACTTCCGGAAAGTGACGTAGTTAAAGCGACAAAGCCATCTAGTGTCAGAAAACGGCATAGACGTAAACAAAAAATGGCAAAAAATATATATATATTGAAATGTTTATTTTCTCATGAAAATTATTTTTGTAAAATTTAATATTTGAGGAAAAATTAAAATTTTACAATTAAGCAATATGTAATTTTGCATTCATTTCTTAATCGTGTATAGATTTACTTTAATTCCTAACCTAACATGTGTACATACGATGACCAAAAAAGTTCATGCTACATATATTTCTTGGTCCAGTACTTAAGTAACTATTACCTTTTGGTGAACAAATACCTTGTATTTAGCCTATTTATAGGGACATAAATAAGGGAACTCAGGTTGTAGTCAGCTCAAGATAGAGTACTTTTTATTTTCCTCCTAGAATGGTTCCACGATTTTAGTAAGTCTACAAAACAGTTGTTTTAGATTTCCACACACACACCTTACACATGACCATGTATGTATGTATATATATATATACATATATAACATGTGATGTAAGTCCTACACATTGCGTAACCTGCACTGGGTTTTTTTTTTACAAGCAGCAATCCAAGGTTTGCTGAACCAGCTTTTCCATTCACATTCAGTTAGGTTTAGGAGATGACAAGGCAGAAGGATGAAGATCCTGACAGCTCAAGCTTTTTCACATGTAAGTCAAGGCCCTGCTTCAAAGTGTTAATTGTATTTTTTTTATCATCACTATTTCAATATGCAGTATTCCATGTAAATGACCATCAAATATTTAGTGTGAAATGTTGCATTTGGTTGGTGAAATCTAGAAGGACAAGTACTGTGATGAATTAAAATGGAGGTAATGAGGTATGCAGATAAGTAATAGAACCTCACTAATCTGATTTGTTCAGTTTGGTTGAATCTGGAGCTGGTGTGGGAAATTGTGCAATTTCACACATACCGCACCTCCACATCCACCTTCATATAAGGAGACAGCGTTGGAGGTTTGCCTTCATTTGTCCATGATTGTAAATTAGTTCATGATGACCAGCGACACCTTACCTTTAATAAAGGTGAGTGATGTACCTCTTCTCTTTTTTGTATGCTAAGGTAGTATTTTGTTTTCTAAGTAGATCATCCTCCAGGCAAGTTGATTTCACCTCTCCTTTCCACTTCTCCCAATGTTTTCTACAGGTGTCTGTTCCTTCTTACAAAGCCACACTAAGCAGAACAGATCACAATCCCAGCTTGCAGACGACTATCCACAGGATGATCCCTCACTTGGCACTTTGCAATTGCAGTAGGTGTTTAACACATTTATTAACTAGAAACTAGTAGCTCAGTAGGTTTCTTGATACAATTAGTTTAGAATAGATCCAAGTGGGCCCTTAACTGGATACTGAAATCATACACTGGGCTGTATTGTTGACAGAAAACTATCTGCCTACAATCTTTGCTCTCTGTGTCATAAGTTTTGCTTGGAAATGTAAATTACAGTTAAATTTACTTGTTTCAAACCAGTCCCTTTAACAGCATTTCTGCCTCCATCAGTTTTTCTGCTTCTAGTGGGGGTGGTGTGGTTCACTGCAAGTGGCTCTAAAGTGCCAGTGGTTTCTAAAGACCCCATAAGCCACTGCCTGGAAGACACGGACTACAGCGAGCTCCTCGGCATCATGGATAAAGGACTTCCTCCCACCAAAACACCTGGACATGTTGCAATTGTTGGTGGGGGCATTGCTGGACTCACTGCTGCTAAGGTTTTAGAGGACGTCGGCCATAAGGTAAATTCAAGCTCGAATTACACTTTGCAGAGTGAAGGAGTGAAATGGTGTGTTTCTTTATCCTCAAGAATACTCATTTTTGTTTACTTTAATACTTAAGGTGAGGGCTATACAGCATAGGCTCTCAATATTTTTTGCTTCACTGATCGTTTCGTGAAAAGAAGATATATATAAATATATAGAAGGGAAATATGAATGCTCTTAGTGAACACAGTCTATTGTGTATATTAATAACCTTAAGTTCACAGAATGCAATACTTGACATAATTATAATGTCTAAAATGGTACTTTTTGTATCACCGTGGACATTAAGGTGACTATAATAGAAGCAAGTGGACGTCTTGGAGGGCGCATTGAGACCTTCAGGAACACAGCAGAAGGCTGGTATGCAGAACTGGGAGCCATGAGGATTTCAAGCTTAAATAAGTGAGTCACGTTTCTAAGAACACACTTTTCCTATGATATTTTGTCATCTATCATTCTATATATATATATATGTACATATATATATATATATAGAGAGAGAGAGAGAGAGTGCTTAAGCAGGCTCCTGCTCACATTTCATTGTGTGCAGTGGTGTGCTGAGTCATAATGACAAGAAGTTAACTTTCCTTCCTAGAGCTCCAGCCGAATTAATGATATTTGGCTCGTAGCCACACTACAGGAAGTAAAACTATATACAGTATCTTGTCTCTGACAACATTCCCGTCACACAGACAATGTTTGATTGGTCCACTGTGGACAAAAGAAAGATCCTACATACGTAAATAATATGAATTAATTTGTGATATTATCTGTATATTCCATAGAATCCTGCTTTCCCTAACCTCCAAATTAAACATCCCCCTGAACCAGTTCATCCAGGAGAACAACAACACCTACTACCTGGTGAATGGATTGCTCCACAAAACCTACACAGTGGAGAGTGACCCTGGCGTTCTCAACTACAGCTTGAACGAAGGAGAGAGAGGAAAGACGGCATTCCAACTCTTCGATGACACACTGTTTAACGTTGGTGTCCGTTCCACACTTCTCCGACATGTTAAATCAAAAGAAATGATAATTCTTACACTAAAGTTAAATCAGTATACAGTAAAAAAAAACTATTGAAGTTGAATATTATGTCAATTTAGTATTAGCACAAAACGATAATTGCAAAATCATTTTAGCCTAGTCGTACAAAATAAATGCTATAATTTGTTACTTATTGCTACATGTCAATTCTGTAATCTCTCCTCAGCTGAAGAACGACCTCAACACACATGGCTGCAGTGTCTTGTTAGATAAATATGACATCTACGCAATGAAGGTATAGAGATTCTTTGATTTTAACGGACAACAAATGTAATATTTACTGGTTTAAATTTTACTGTGGCCTTTGATTAAACTAAACGATAGTTTTCATCTTACAGGAATTCCTGATCAAAGAGGGTAACCTGAGTCTTGGAGCCCAGAAGATGATCGGGGATATCCTGAATACAAGTGGCATGTACTACATTTCACTGTTGGAAATGCTGTATGTAGTGTCAAACATCAACGATAACAATGAGTAAGAAACTTGTATAATTATCATCATCCTCAGCATCGAAACACGTTACTCAGTAATTACAGTTGTTTTACATTGGGCAGTGATGCTTTACTGATGTATTTTGTTTTCCTTCCAGCTACTTTGAGGTTGACGGCGGTTTCGACCAGCTTGTCACAGCGCTCAGCAACCTCTTAAACTCCGACATCCTTCTGAACTCCAAGGTAACGCTGATCCACCAAACAGGCAGCAATGTCACAGTGACATATCGAGACGGGCAGGATTCACGCCTGCTAACAAGCCTCACTGTCGACTACGTCCTGGTAACAGCCACAGCCAAGGCCACGCTTTTCATTAACTTCCAACCTCCTCTCTCCGGGACCAAGATGGAGGCCCTGCATTCAACCCACTACACCAGTGCCACCAAGGTGATTCTCAGCTTCAGTGTGCGTTTCTGGGAGAAAGAAGGCATCAGAGGGGGAAAGAGCATCACAGACCGCATGTCTCGCTTCATTTACTATCCCAGTCACAGCTTCCCAGGCACAGGAGCAGGTGCTCTGCTGGCATCTTACACCATCGCTGATGACTCCTCGCTCTTCCACGGGATCAAGGATGAGGAACTGATGAGTATGGTCCTGGAAGACTTGGTCATGATCCATGGAGAGGCTATCAGGAGCCTATGGACAGGAGGGGTGGTAAAAAGGTGGGGTCTGGATCCTTACAGCCTGGGAGCCTTTGCCCTCTTGACTCCCTTGCAGCACAGCCACTACTCCAGAGAATTGTTCAGAAGTGAGGGACGTGTGCACTTTGCGGGAGATCACACAGCCCAACCGCATGGATGGATTGAAACCTCCATGAAGAGTGCACTACGGGCAGCTAAAAACATTAACAGCCCCACCCTCTAGTTATGCTTCTTCAAATATAGACAGACAAACAGACAGGTTTGTTTAAGCCTAAAGCTCAAACATCAGTTTGCAATAATTATTGCATTGAATTATAAATTATTAAGTAGAGAATTGTTGGTCTTTTTGCATTTTATTCTGACATGCTCTAATCCATGTTATGTCATGTTATTTTATTACTGGTTACTCAGAATGTCTATTAAATTCAAGAGTCACCTATATAGTAATGAAGAATTGTATTTTATTGTACACTTATATTTTCATTTTCACAAGTGGACCTTTACCCATGTATGAAAGGATCCTGTATATTGTGCAGTTACATGTTTCAAACATGTCTATACAAACAACGTGACACCAATATGTTATAGTCGATCAATATTTTAAACAATATTTAATCAATATGGCAACTGCAGGACATAATATTTATTTTCCTTTTATACTGACCTATTTGATGTGTTTCCATTAGTGTGACCAGGAAAAAAGCAGATTTGCTATTCACAAATAAAATGAGCACAATGTCAACATCCTCCAATGCTCATATTTTCAGTTATATAATAGTATATAATTTGACTTGGTGCAGCACCGAAAGTCCTTTTCACTTTTATCCAAGAGGCATCATTGGCACAAACTGTCCATTCTTAATGAGCTCCTTTCTGTACCATCTGTGAGAAGCGGTTAGTTATGGTCAGGGTGGTGTCTATGAAGCGCTCCACGCAGCTCACGAGACAAGTCTCCGTACGGTAGTCCAGCTTCGAGCTTGGGCGATCCATACACTTGTCCCAGCAGATGTCAGTGAAGTTGTGCACCTTGAATTGAATATGAACACAAGTCATTTACTGAGCACTGAAAAGCATATTGATATTTCCCTACTAATAAATATAAGAATCATTACTTTCATTTAACTTAATGTATGCAGGCAAACATTAGAGGTAACATCATTTTGCCCTTCACTGAAGGAATTACCGTATGCAGGCAAACATTAGAGGTAACACTGTCATTTTGCCCTTCACTGAAGGAATTACAATTGAACCTTAACCCATCCGTAATTGAGCATATATGAATTAATCACTCATTGAGGTGTGATGTGTGCATTGATATCTCATATATAATATTGTCTAATTGCATAGCATTTAGAAGTTTATACCATATATATCATATTTTAGGTATAGTCAAAGCCACGTAGGAATAATATAAGAATCACTAAGCAGAAGGCTTATAGCAAAATCAGAATATATGATGCTAGCTTTACTGTCTTGGTCATGTATGCTAACGCACTGCATATATGTTAGCATGTTAGCCGTGATTGCGTACAAACCTGTGCCTGAAACTGTGCTTTCTGCTGTTCAACGGCGATCATTCGCTGCAGCTCAGCCGCTTGCGCCTTCTCAGATGCGCTCAAATTATTATAATTGTCCATGATTCTGTTATAGAGGGATTGAGATAGAGACCGGCAGACTGTAACCAACGTGGTTCAAGCTACAGTATGACCTTTCGTTTCAAAACGACGACGCTGTCAGTGGCAGCGACCGGTGGGGAAGCAGCGCTGATATATAAATTATCTGGAACGCCCGGACGCTTCAACCCATAGCGCTTCCGCTGGAGAAAAGAGGAAGAGCAAACGGTATACGCAAAAGAAGACTATTTAAAATTGTTGCGTTTCACATTTGAGACAGCTATAGAACTGTAAATAATACCAATTCTGTCATAAACCATAATAATCAACTTTGACTTACGTCATTGAAAGTATGTCATAAATCATCAACTTTGACTTACGTCATTGAAAGTCATAAAGAAGGTAGTTATCAAAAGTTGGATAACTGTAGTCAGTTGGATAACTGACTACAGTTTTGTAATGAAATTAATTAATTAATTAATATTTATATTTGGCATGAATGTAATCAGAGTTTCTTTTTTATTGTTTGTATTAAATGCCAAGCATATATGTACGGTGAAACATTTACAGCTCATCATCCGCCATTTTTGAACCACTGTCAACTACGTCATAACTATATCCGGGAAACTGTGGTGACCTTGGTATATGATCATCATGGCGGCTGTGGCCAGGTTAAGTTGTGTTTGTCGCAGAGGAATTAAACGTAAGTGATTCTATTCCCCGTACAATGCTTTTGTAAATATCAAATGTGGATGATAAGCTTCGTGTAGTAGGTTTATGGCTCTGCGGTTTTAAATAAGGGACGTCAAAATACTGGCTATGTAGCGGAAGACTACTCCCAAATGTAGCGTTAATCAACATGGTTAACTGACTTCATCAAACTCTCGGTAGCGTATTAAAGAAATTGAAAGATGATGTTCTTCGTTGCTAATGGTCGTTAACATAAAGCTTTGTTTGTTTTTAGCCTTGTCGCTAGCATAGGGGAATTGAAGCTTCCTGCATTCCTGACTATAGTCTCAGAGTGTCATTTAAGGACAAACACAAATGTCAGTTGATTCGTTTAAGGGCCATGTGGTTACATTTTGAATCTTTTTGAATGCTTAAAAAAAAACTTCTTTCATAAATAACGTTGTCTTTCATCATCTACAATATCACGCTGGTCAAACACGAATAATAGCTGTTGTAAAACTTTAGTCTTTAAAAATGTGTAGCTAAGCCTGACTGGCTAAAGTGTAGAAAACATGATTCGGGCCTAAATTACAGATTTAATTATTTTAGGTAAAAGAAAAACACAGTATTCGTAACAAAAAATCCAAAATATACATTATTTTCAAGGTAAACATGTTTCTATTCTCTCCAGCTCTGCTTTATCAAAGCACTCTCTTGCCAAGAGCACTGGTTGCATCACACAAATACCAGGACCATCCCTATATGCTTACAGCAAGGATTCATGCCTCTCAAGCTCTCAATGGTGAGTGTTGACATCTTCTTTTGAAGAGTGTGGTGTGGAATCACAAGAAAATGGATCAATGATTTGTTGACTATTAGTCAGTTTAACTTTGGTTTTTGACAGGACTATGTTAAATTGACATGCAGTGTAGCTACTGAACACATACTATTTGTCCTACCAGTGTTCCTTATGTAAAAATAATGCATCTTGGTAAATTAAAGCCCTACATACCCAGTACCTGGTTGTTTTGGCAGATTCTACATTTTGATTTTGTCGCACCCACTTTTTCTGGAGCAGAGACAATAATTTACATTAAGTGTATTTTGTACATGGAAAATAAAATGTTGCAGGTGTTAATTAAACTTTTTTTTGTCATATATATATAATGGTCTGTATTGTCATTGCACGATATCTTGACAGTTCTTTTCTTGTATTCTGCAGCAAGCTCTGGCTCCAAAGCCGCCTCTTTGCACTGGACAGCGGAGCGAGCGGTTAGTGTCCTGTTGCTAGCCATGGGACCTGTTGCCTATTTTAACCCTGGTCCATTCATAGACTATTCATTGGCTGCTGCACTGACGCTGCATGGCCACTGGTGAGATGAGAAAACATTTGCCTGAAGATCGATTCTTTTTATTTTGTGTCTTCGTCTAGTTCGTTTATGTTGTTATAAACTTGATTTACTATTTAAACTTGGTAAACTGTGTCATAGCTGCAACAGATCTGCTGCAATAAATTATACAGTATGTGGCTTCAGCTTTAAGGTTGGGAGCCACATTGATAAACTATATTTATTGTGGTTATAAATGTTGCATATGACAAACTTTTTGTTCCTTTTTTTTCCTCTGTTGCCCTGATCCAAAATTTTAATTTTATCCTAATGTCAGACAAGTCCTTGTAGCCCATTATGGTCAAATGTGTTTTGGGGCTTTAAACTTTTTAAGCTTTTAAACTAGTGTTCATACCATTCATTACAAAGTGAATTCACATTACACAGTGTTTACAAGGACCAGTAAGTGTATGTGACATGGTCATCTCACCTTTCCTGGGAAAAAAACAAATGTGAGTGTTAAATCTGCTCCGTCATATGACCTCTCAGGGGCTTGTGGGCAAAGTTTTGTGCCAAATCCTCTTAATCTGATCTGACCTTCCTCTTTAATCCCTACATCAATACAGTCACTTAACTGACCCGTTTGGGATGAGAGGCTTTTTAAACTTCCATACACTTTTTTTTTTTTTTTTTTTTTACAGAAATGTAAAAATGGTATCTTTGGTTTTTTTTTCTTTTTCTCTTTGTCTTTTGTTGGGACTATTCTGTCTGACTTGAAAAGGTGGCTTAGCTTAGTGTCACATCAGTGTGTGTTTCTGACCAGCAGGGCAGCTCAAGGAATTAAACCAAACCAGCAATTTCATGGTAATAACTCTTAAGTCAGTTCTCTCTTTGCTGGCTGGTATCTCAGAAGGTCAACTTTTGACCTCTTTGGCTGTAATGACTTTGACTTGCGTTCCAGAATTGTTAGACATTGTCACTGCATTAACCAGGTTTCACCATACTTTCAACACTTTCTATTTTTAAAAAATCAACAGAATCTGTGTTAAAACATACACACTTTTTTCTATTCCGTTTTTCAAAATATTTTTTATAAAAACAGTCAATTGTGCTCATTCTTGTTGATTTCTAATACCTTTTTATTTTGTTCTGTAGGGGCCTTGGGCAGGTGCTAACAGACTACGTTCACGGTGACACAAAGATTAAAATTGCCAATGCCGGTCTCTTCCTTCTGTCCACTGTCACCTTCGCTGGTCTCTGCTACTTCAACTACAACGATGTGGGCATCTGTAAAGCTGTTGCCCTCCTCTGGAGCAAATGAAAACTGGGAAAACTGGAAAGTTATAGAAGAACCAAGACACCGGGACATGAACAATCTAATCTCAACTGATTTGTTTAAGAAGAAAAAAAACATCAAGGTGTTCCATGTAAATTCCTATAAATATATATATTCTGTTGACTATTAGTGTGTAATTGGAAATCATGTTGATCACTTCGAGCTTCAGTCGTTCTGTGGCTTTGTATGAACCAAAGTCATCATCAATGTCAGCAAAATGTCCCATAAAATTATACTGTATGTATCTTCACAGATATATAAACATGAGCCCTTCACTGTAATAAGTAAGAACTGTTAGGTTATGGGGACTTTCCCAAGATTTACTTTCTTATTTTTCTGATTTTCCAGCAGGGGGCTGCCGTTTCGGTTATGTGGTAATAATGGCGGTATGTCAGATCTACGGTTGTGTTGTTGACACAGTGGCCCTTCACCATAACAGCTTTTAGTCCCGTAGCTGTTCAAATGTTAAATGTACTGAGTAAATGCTAAGAAAGTGGTTATACTGAACCCAAGAGAGAAGCACCTTTTTCACTGGGGCATTTATAGGTGGGTTTAAATGTTTTTTTCTACAATGAGCTGACAGAGCACATTAACAGTTATATGTAGGTCAGTGGCGACAACAAACGGGTATTAATTTGGTTCAGGAAATAAACCAGGCTACATTTCTAGATTCTTCTTCTGTTATAATTTACTTAAATACATTATCCAGTTCCTTTTAGTTGAACTTTAAGGACCTGTTTTACCTAAAATCAATACATACATGTGAATGAGTTAACATTTTTTCTGATTAAATATTTGTGAAGAGTTGCCTAACTAAACTAAATTTGTTTCGGTTTAATTTCAACTAAACAAAAGAAAAAACAAAACCAAATTATGCAAGTGTCAGTTTATTTGTCAAATGTTATTAAAAAAGGTATTTCTAATCTTAAAGGACAATATGGGAGCCAGATGTAATAATGGATTATTTACTCACAGCATGTTAGCCTGTAGTGTGTGCTTGCAGTACCAATGAACGATCACAGCTAAACACGTTATTTTGTATTTCTTTGCTGCATTGTCGCTTTGTTTCTTACATTAACTGTGTACCAGCATCATATCAGCTCCAAGGCTGCTGTCATCAACAGTTTTACGCACAAAAAATCACATGTGGCACTTAAGAGTCCAGCACTCCTGCCTCTGCCAAACAATAAAGGCGATGTAATGTTTTCCTATTTGTGACTTTCATCATTTAAAAATCATTTAAATGTGGCTTACTCAAACAGATGCATAATTATAGAAGAGAGACATTCATGGAGATGCACATTATTTTCAAAGAGCTTATAAAAAATAAATAAAGGTGAAACATTAAAAATGGTAATGCCTTACTTTAACGCTGTAGTTTTTTTAGTTTACCCAAAGAGAAAAAAAACTGATATGACAATAAGTAGCAGTTACTTTACATACATACTAGGTCTTTACCAACTTTTAAAAATATTTTCTTTTTAAAAATGCATTTTTAGCAATAAATAACCTCATCACTCATTTAGTTTAATCTAGAACTTGTTCCTAATTTGTGTTGCAATGCATTTGAACAGTAAATAGTGACCATTATGACACTTGTGTTTTCTCTCACACCTTGACCACAGTAAACAAGTTGTACCAACTGTCTACATCTCTATCAGATAACAGTATTCCAATAAATGTAAAAAAAAAAAAAAAAAAAACATAAAAAGATGTCAGGGATGTTAGAAGTTGGGTTTCCTTTTCTGGCTTCTCTCCATCCCATCAATGACATTTGGATAAAATGACCTCTGAGTCCTCGCCCACTCCATCAAAACCTTTTTCATGCAACACCGGTTTCTTCAGTGAGGGATTATCCTTCACTGGCTCGAATCCCAGGAATGTGGAAGGGAACACAGATGACTCAAACATGAACTTGTCATGTGTGAGTTTGGTCAGGTAGAACAAGGCCTTGTGGGCCTTGTCTTCGATTTTGTACGGCAGTTCCTGTTGAGGAAAAACATACTTTTGCAGTTTCCAGTTGTTGTTTTTTTTCACCCACTAAAACTTCAACTATAAACAACAACATATTTACAAAAATAACAAAGGGAGATGAGGGGTTGCGTCTGTGCGCCTGGTATCCTGACGACCCAGGTGGTTAGTTATAAAGCCTTACAGTAAAGCCACCAATTTTTATTTTTTTTTTCATTTTAAATGTCTGCTTTAGGCGTGGTTGTGAATGTGTGTGAGGAAGCAGTTTTCTAATTTGTGGATCAGTGACATAAGTGACAAAAAATGTCTAAATGCGTAGGTGGGTTCATCTGCTGTTACCACATGAATTTCCCAAATATGGGATTAATAAAGTTAATTTAATTTAATTGCTCTGTCAGCCTGCGTACACTGCCTACATTTCCTGATGGAAATGGATTAATAAAATTCTATCTATAAACTTGCAAATGCCACATGCATATTCCAGCAGAGCAGCAACAAAGAAATTTGATTTGGTGGGAAGTTGGACAACAGTGTGTGACTCAGTTACTGTGAGCTAACAGTGTGTTCTTCTCACCATGGCCTCAGAATAGATTTCATTGTTCCTCCTGCAGCAGACCACCAGCTTCCGGCCATCCTTCTTCATGTAGAGTATGACTGCGATTCCCTGCTTCTGATCTCTGGATGAGTCACTGTACAAATGTATGTTGAATCTGCAGTCTGAAAATGTAGACACATAGAAAATAGACGGGTTATGTGCAATGTAAGAGTTACGGAGTGTGCAGAGACTGGATTAGGACTGCACATCTGGACTTTATGTCATATGAGTAGGAGCATTAGCCCTAAGGTCTGTATTCTTTAAAATTTGCAACAAAATTACTTCACAGAAACTTCTGCCTTTTGCTTGAAGGTTCTTACCAGGAGGTGGTGCTGTCCTCTGGCCAGTGCCTACACATTAACTCACTAATCGCCATGTAGCACATGCATTTTTAGTGGAATGGTTCAAATAAATAACTGAGGTTATTTAGCATCATATTACCAAGCTGACACTGCTCCTGTATGGTCATGTGCTGAAGCCGGAACTCTCCATCAGAATTAAGAAACAGATATTTGTTGTCCTTGCACTGGAGCTTGTATGTGAGGCAGCGAGCAGAGTCAGTGAAGGAATCCCCGTCAATGTTATCTGTCATTGGAGAAAAAAACCTCATAATATCACATGTGATAACAGAAAGGTTTTCACAGGATGGACCCAGATGCTGTATGTCGAAGAAGAAAGTGTTTTTGATTTGCTTGAGGAAAAAAAAAGAAAGAAAAAATGTACCTTCAAAGTAGAAGGTGTCGTTGCATATTGTGTCAGCCATCATGAACTCCTGAAAATAAACACAATCCAAGGGTAAGTCAACAAGTTCTGAAGTAAATTGATTTTAAAAACCCATCCATTTTCATCCACTTATCCGTTACCGGGTCGCGGGGACAGCAGTCGTCACCCAAATCACATTGCACCGTACCAACCCCCCCAAACCTTCCTGCGGGTGGTGAGTCCACTGGAAGG